GGCTCTTCCCGAGGAGAATAAAGACACGCGGACGGACAGAGGCTCTTCAAGCCGAAGAGGCCTCTCCTGCCCTCAGGGGTCCACTTGCTGCTCCCCAGCTGCTTGCTGGACTCCCGGGGGCTCTCCGTGGCAGCTGCTTTCCCCGGGCTCTCTGCAGCCTTTCCCATCCCCAGGTGTGAGCGTGGTGCCTCGTTAGGGTTGGGTTTAACGACATCAGTGCTCTGCTCCTGCTGTTGACCAGGAGCTTCTGTCCTGCACCAGCACGGCTTTTCCACCCGTTTTCCCCACTCCACTCCGCACCCCTGCAGCTGGGAGCGCGGCCATCGCATGGGGCAGGTTCAGATCCGCTAGTGCCCAGATCACCTAAAACATGTTTATTTAACACATTTTTGGTGTTTCAGAGAGTGTTGTCTGCATGGAATTGGTATGAAGATGTGCAGATGTTAGTTTCTGTCACTTACGAAAGACCTTCCTTCAGTTTATTTCTCCTCCGTAGTCCCAGCTGTCCCTTGGCCAGCCAGGGTGGCTGGACGGTGGGTGCCGCAGAAACCTCCGTTTGCTCCGCGCTCACACGGACAGCGAGCAGAACGATGCCGGGGAGCACACAGGGACTGTGCTTGCTGAATGTAAGGGCTGGAAATAGGTCAGCTGAAAAAATCCTTTTGTTCCAAATCCAGCTGCTGCGATACTGCAGCAGACACTCTCAGGAGGTGACTCGCTTACTGTGGTGTGGTGACGGGTACGAAGCTTTCCGAAGCGGAGCGTGGCTGCGTGCGGGGCGAGGGCTCGTTGGGTGTTACTGGGGCCGCAGACGGTGTTACCAGAATCTCTGACAAACACCAGCACAGCTGTCCTTAGAGCTTAGGGCAGCGTTCTTTTTATTAATAGTACAGAAAAAGTAGTTCATCTTCCCATTAAAAAAAAAAAAAAAATTAACAGATTTTAGTGAGTTACAGGCTGACCATTTTCCTTCTTCAGTTTAATAACACCCACACCCTATAGTTACCGTAGGTGCCACATTACAGGAGGTGAAATAAGTAAAGGCCTCTCTGTGTGCGGTGGCTACAGTCATTTGTAGAGTGTGGTTAGTGTGTGCCGACCTGCATACACGTCTATAATTGATGTTTGTACGTGTGTACGTACACACACGTGTCTCAGCCTCATTGTCTCCGTGAGCCTTGCTTTTCCTCCTTCCTTTGAAGTGAGAAACTTTTCTGCTGCGATAGAATGTGGCCAAGAGAACTGGACCCCAACGGGTTGTTCTCCTGAAGACACCAGGCTTTCTGTGGGGGTTTAATAAAGGACAGAGTTGTCCCACCTGGAGTGAGAATGCAGCTACTGAACTCTTTTGAGGGATTAGGGTTTTAGTACTGGAGCTGCATCTGGAGAGAAGGACCAGCCCTGCAAAGAAAGCTGGTTTATTTTCCTGGGGTTTGCTCTTCCTGTAGGAATACTCCAGGTGCCAGGACTGAGGATGGGAGGTGGGTGCTTGGCCCCAGGTACCGTGTTTGCAAGGGTCTGCCGTGGGGAAGAAGCTGCACAAAGCAAGGGACATGCTCTAAAATAGCAGCACAAAGTGTTTCTGGCCATGAGTTTAGTGTTTCACACCTTGGAATGTGTTCTAGATATTCAGATTCTGCAGTTTATTTTTGGAAGTTTTTTCAGTAATGAACTTAAAATAACCGTTAAGTCCAGGAAACATTAACTTCCCAGGTTTAAAATTAGCGTCTTCATCAGTAACCAAACTCCTCTCCAGTGTTCCCCGAGCACACGTTCCCAGAGGATGCGCCTTCTGCCAAGGAATTTTCATCTCCTTACTCCTGGGCAGTTCTGTGCCTAACAAACGGGGAGCTGAGCGTGTTACCGGCCGGGGACCCCCTTGGGCACGGAACGGTCTCTCCAAGGGAGGGTGTTTGCATTTCGCTGGGAGTCTAAATGCTGGGGCACCTGTCCCTTGTCAGTCGCGTGGGTGGGGTTTTGGGGGGAACGATGTGTGTTATCGCAGGTGTAGGGTACGTGCGATGGAGCGTAGGAAATCACAGGAGAGCTGCTCTTGTCAGGGGTGGTTCACATGGAATGGAAACGTTTTCAGCAGCCTTGTTTTGGATAAGTGTGTAAATGAGTATTGTTGAAATACTTCAGAGTTGTGAGTACTTTGGAGGATATATTTTGGAATAAGAAAGTCCTCTTTGAATTATCATCAGTGGAAAGGTCCAGCACTAAAGCCGTTTCCCTCCAAGAGAGTTCACTGCCATTTATAAACCACAGGAATAGGTGTGGATATGGATGCTCCCCTCTACCCCCAATTAAAAAAAGAAAAAAACAAAAAGGCATGCTCGATGTAGTAATAGTGTTCTATTGCTGTTTAGAAAAAAATAAAAAAAGCTCATGTAAGAGTGAGACGGTGCTCAGCGCAGCTGGGAGACGTGCCTATCTCAGCACACGGGCTGCGGGGTGAATCTTCCGCGGGCTGGCTGCCGGGTCGCCCTCCCAGCAGCGTTCCTCCGATGATGCCGAGCTCGCGGTTGCCTGTCCCTGGTCCCGGCAGCGTTGCTGTGCTGGCGGAGCCGTGGGCAGGCTCCGGCGGGGATGATCCCTTTGGTTAAAGCCAAGATGAGGAATTCCACCCGAGATTTCGCGGGCAGGCTGGGCCGGCCGGTGCTCCCGCTGCCTGGCGAAGGGTCGGCTCTTGGCGTTGCTTTATCAGCTGTGCAAGGGCAGGCTGGGGTCCTGCGCTGCTCTGGGCTGGCCGGGATGGGCTCTGCTGGGGATGGAGCGTCCGTCGGGGCGCAGCAGTCCTTGTCCATGTCCCCTCTGGTGAGTCTCCCAGATGTACTGACGCTGTGCCACGGTTCCTTCAGTCCTGTGAGTGCCTCTGCAGAGCGGGCAGGTGCCCTTCTTCTGGCCTTCCGCACCCTAAATAAACCGCTTGATTTTAAAATTGTGAAGGAGAGGGCAAGGGGGAGGCAGCAGCAGCCAGCTCCATGCAGCAGCAGTGGAAAGAGCTGTTCAAGAGGTGGGTGTAACAAACTCTTAATTAGATAGGAGCTAAAAAATGCTGCTCCAAATTCAAGTCAGCTTCTTGGAATGTGGAAGGGAAGCTGGGTCCCAATTAACTCAGCGAGCTGCTGGATGAACCCGAGCGTCCTCCTTGCTGGGCTCAGCACATCGCAGGGTGCTGCCGCCAGTTCTTGTCTTTTGCCCGCAGCAGCAGCCTGCGGAGATCCACACCCACCTCCGTCACCGCCCGCGTCGCTGTCCTGAGGTGGAGCTCAGAAGTCAGGGTTTCTGGTTTTTAAGCCTTTCTGTAATGCCGTGCTGACAGTATGGGTGGTTTTTGTGTAAAAGCTCTTAAGCCCGCAAGTTGAGATGGAACAGGTACCTGGGATTAGATTCCTCGGAGATGTTTTGGCTTTAACTTCAGGCGTGTACGTCGCATGGCGCTCGGCACAGAGCTCAGCTCGGTTCTGCAGCATTGATCCCCACACAGGGGCCATCGCTGGGGTGTGCGGAGGTGTTCGGACAGGATCCCTGTTCCCTCCCCGGAGAGCTGCCGGGAGAAACCGCAGAGTCCCTGAGGGTGCCAGCAGCGGGTCGGGGCTGGAGGAAACAACCTTCCTCCGCGTTCAGCTTTGAACCGGGATGGCCCCCCCCCGGGTGCGGGAGGGGGCTGTGGGCAGCGGTGTCTCGGGAGGAGCGGGTCTGTGGGGGGTGGGACAGCGTGCTCCAGCTCCCAGGGAGGGTTCGGCCCCGTTGGGTGTTTGCGGCGGTGGCTGTGCTGCCTGCGTGTGTCAGGAGATGTTCAGGATTCTGCAGCATGGAATAAAAGGAATTGTAACAAACTCCTGTTCTATTTATTTGTCTGTTCGTGATCTTGCTTTTGTAACTGCGCTGCCACGAGCGCTCGGGTTCCCGCCGCCTATGTGTGTGCAGCTCCCGCCGTCCTCCCGCTGCTGGCTCCAGCACTGGAGCTTGGTGACACGGGAGGTGCAGAGAGGTTGTGCGTGAGCGGCTGGTCTTTGCATCTGTCACCCAAACAAGCAGAAAGCATCTGTAAAAGAGTCTGAATTAAAACTTCTTTTGTAGGATAACTGGGATGATGAGGAGGAAGAGGAGGAAGTAAAGGAGACAGAGATAAAACCAGGTGAGACTTGACTTAAAAGGAATTGGTGGCTGTGTGCAGCGTCGGAACAGAGGCTGGTGTTGTCCTGAGTGATCTGAAGAATCAAAACCACTTTCCAAGTAGGGTTGGTTTTGTTTTTGACAAAGCATGTCTCCTACCTCGCTGTGTTCAGGTTCCAGTAATTGAGCTCTGTGGCTTTCTTTCTGATTAACGTTGCTATCATTGCTGGGAAAAAAAAAATCAGTAGACCTCCTGAGTGCTTTTATGTTTTACAGAACCAAAAGTTTCAGAAAAAAAGAAAATCGCAGAAAAAATAAAAGAAAAAGAAAAGCTACAGAAGAAAAAGCAAGAGGAGCTTAAAAAAAGGGTAACTCGTGTTTTCTTCTGGTCTCGTAAAATTTAGAGGGCAAGCTTGATTTTGTTGAGGTTGAACAAGACCTGTAAATATCTTGACTAGTCTGATAAACCAAACTTAAGTCTTGCACTTAGTAGCATCTGGGGGGTGTTAGCTTTAATTTCTCCATCATTTAACCAGGTTATTGCAATAATGCTGTCACCGTTTCTTTTGTATGCACCTCATGATAAAATGTGCAGTTCTGAAACTTAGAACTAAGCTGTTTCTTCCCACTTCTTGTAAAATGAACAGTTAAACAGCGTGCCATTGTTACGCCGTGTTGGGATGGGTTTCAGGCCTGTACGTGCTCGAGATGGACTGACTGCAGGCAGGAGTGAGCTGTTCAGGTGGCACTGGAAAAAAACCCATTTCTTGTACTGCCTCTGCTCAAGGGTCAGAAATCTAACATTCTCCCTGTCTGCATCTTTAAATTCAGCTAGAGGCACCAGAGGAACATAAAGAACTTACACCAGAAGAACAGTTAGCAGACAAACTACGACTAAAGAAATTGCAAGAGGAGTCAGACCTTGAGTTAGCAAAAGAAACCTTTGGTGAGTGTGCTGTGCCTGGGCCGGTGTGGCGGTAGCACCACGGACGCGCTGTGTCCCACAGATCGAGCTCTGCTGGGGAGGATGCGCTGGGAAAGGAACGGGGCAGGATCTGACTGGGGGAGCACCTGCGGGTTGTGTTCAAGAGGGGTTTAAATTCACGCTCCTGGAGGCCTGTCAGGTACTGAGGGGTAATTGCAAGAACCACAAAAACCACGTTTAGAGTAGAAGGTGCTTTTTCTGAACATATCACGGTGGGAGGTGGTAGGAAGAAGGTGGCTGACTGCGTTTTCCATCATACTGGTACTTCTGGTAAAAGATGAGTGTGTAAGCAGAAAAAAAAAAACATAGAAGTGCCATCTTTTGATGTTCTGAGTTGCTTTACAACATGGCTTTAACGAGGCTGTGGACGAGCGTGGCGCAGTGTCGCTCACGCAGCGTTCCTCGGGGCCATCTGTGTCACCGCTGGGTGCTGAGCAGGCTGGGGCAGTTCTGCTGGGGAACCTCCGCTCGGAGGAGCCTCAAGCAGATCGTTCTGGTTTGTGCTGTGACAGAAGGGGCAGAGATCCTGATTCACAGCAGCATCCCTCAGACAGGAAAGTGTCGCCTTGATGACTGAATGACACGGCTTGTTAGTCAGGGACAGGTCTGCGGAGTGCGGTGCTGCGGGGTGGGGGGTGCATAGGTGCAGGTGCAAAGGGTGAGCACGGTTCTGCCCCACGAGCTCGAGGCAGGAATTCCTTGTTTAAAATGGATTGCTGTGAGCTCCGGTGACCGGGTGCAGCCGGCTCGTGTTCCTGAGCTGTGCCGTGCGGGCTAGGAACGCGGGCTGGTTGCTTCTGCGCGGCAGAGACGGGGGAAGCGAGTGAGCACAGCTCAGGTCGGGGTTTGTGAAGCTTCAGTGGAGGCGGAGAGCTGAAGGGCAGCAAGGTCATTTATTTCCTCTGGTGTCACCTCTTCAGGTGTTTTCTGTAATATCTCTCTTTATAAATAACACTTGTGGAATAGATGCCATGAACCCCTCTTCAAAAGATGACTTTACGGAATTTGGCAAACTACTAAAAGAGAAGATCACACAGTATGAGAAGTCGTTACATTACGCCAGCTTCTTGGAAGCATTAGTTCGAGACGTATGTATTTCATGTAAGTTCAGTGAAAGACATGCTGGAAGAACACGCTGCTACCAGAATTGTAAAGGAGTTGAAAACATGGTGTTACAGGAAACCTGAAATCAGGGTTGGTCTCTGCAGTTTGTGCTCAGTGAAGTGCTGACCTGCTTCACTCACTGGGATCCGATTCCATTCCCAGAAACTTTCAGGATTGTCTCCCTGCACAGGAGTCACGCTTTCTGCATGGCAGTTAAAGACAGTACTTTCAAAAAGCATGAATCTTTGTGCTGATCTAATCTTGCATGCTTTTCTTGAAGCCATTTCTAAAATAATAATAAAAAAATAAAATTCTCTGAGCCAGGCACCTTGAGTAGCTCATTTGGGAGGAAACTATTATAAAATTGAGTTCCTGTAATTCTGGGACTGCAAAATAAATAGTTCTGGAATTCAGCATGCAACTGTACAGAGAAAAAAAACAACTTAAACTCATTTTTTTCCATGGCTCTGGCAGGCTCAGGTGCTTGGTGAATTCATTGCTGTGCTCTTCTCCTGTGCCGTACAGGCTCGTGCTTATTACTGATGCTTGTGGATAGTTTTCAGCGAATGTTGATGTTGGATTCTTTAACTGCCTTCTAAGAACAATATTGATGAGGAATCTTTTTTTTTTTTTTTCCTGATGTAGTGGAAGTTGATGATTTGAAAAAGATCACAAATACTTTGACAGTACTATGCAGTGAAAAACAAAAACAAGAAAAGGTAAGAGTTCAGTGTGGTTCTGCAGCAATACCGCTGAAGGGGCTAGTCCGGCAAACGGGAACAGGTCGAACAACTGAAATGCTGATTTTGTTAGAGGTGGTAATAGGAGATAAAATTATAACCCCAGATACTGGAGTTAATCCTCTCCACCGTATGAGGGAATTGGGGGTTGGCTGACTCTAGAGATCCCAGGCAAACCTTGATTCCTTTAGGTAAATGTCACCTGTGCGCTGACTGTGTTCTGGTTTACGCTGTCCTGGAGTTAAAGGGCTCAGGCCGATCTCCTGCAGACAGGAGCCAGCCTCCTTTAGAGTTAAACGTCAATAGAATACCAGTCCGTGGAAGTAACATAAATCTTTGCCAAGGTTGGGGATTGAATGCGGGTAGCTGAGATTTTTACACTGTTGTGCAAATGACAGGAGCACCAACTGCCCAGGCAGGGAACAGTAAGCTTTACAAAGTGGTGTAACAGCTTACCTGCTGGTGGTGTGATGCAGCGCCTTGTGTTTGTTTTTCGGAGGGAAGCCCGTGACTTATTGAACCAAACAAGTGTAAAAACAAAAAGTCTGTATACTGCCTATTTTATACTCCTCTCTCCCTGCTCTGTGTGTAAATTCGTTTGGCCAGCCACTGGAAGCTACAACTACACCAGTGCAGTAAGGAAGTTATTCAGCCACTGTGGTGATAAAAGCCGCATTAAATTCCTTAATTAAATTGGTAATTCTACAAAACTAAACACCAGACTCTGCATTTACTTGAGCTATTCTGCTTGTTTGGAGTCCAGGTGAAACAGGAGGAATGACAGAACGCGGGCAAGCCCAGAAGGGGTTGCACTTGGGGATGAAGGGCAGGGGTAGAAATCGTTGGCAACAGGGTGTTCACCACCTGGGGACGTGCATGCTCCTACCTCAGACATGTGGCGTTACTCTAATTAGGGTAAGGACAAATGACCGTGGATTTTAAAGTAAACATGCTCTTCCTATTTAAGCAGAATAAAGCCAAAAAGAAGAAAAAAGGTGTTGTGCCTGGAGGTGGTTTAAAGGCTACTATGAAAGATGACCTGGCTGATTACGGAGGATATGATGGAGAATACGTACAAGACTTTGAAGACTTCATGTGACATTTATCTCCCTTTCTGTTGTCTTTCTGTTGCCCATAATCCCTTAAACATGTAGCACAACTTTTCTTCCTTTAAATTCTGCCAAATGCTACAATCGGAATTGCAGTATCTCTGTGCTGGTGTCAGCTCCTGACGGGTCCCTGCGCAAGCACTGGGCTCCCTGCTCTGCATCAGGGGTTAGAATGAAGACATGGAAAAGCTGAGTAAATTGCAGTTAGAAACCCCAAAAAGCTGATAATGGTAACTGTTGCTATTTGATTTTATAGTAACAGCCACTAAATTGGAAAAGAATTTCAACACAGCAAAGTATTATTGCCAGCACAGTGCAGCGATACGGCCTTAACTGTACCTCCCCCCGGGGCGGGCTGGAGGAACAAAAGCAGTTTGCAGCAAGGGCATGGTGTGCACTTAGTATTACGATTGCTTTGTCTTGAGTTAGAGCTTGAGGATTTCAGTGTAGGGTGAAGGGGAACTGCCAGCTTCAGTGCGAGGATGCTGCACCGGGAACTGCAGCGCTGGGACACTGACACGGGGTGAGTCACAACACCAAGAGTGGTATTTGACAAATCCAACTTGTGTCGTGAGTATGAAGTTTAGTTTCCCTTCACTGAGATTTCTACTAATGCAGCTGTATGGGTTGGGTTTTCTTTAACAGTTAATTGCCTGGTTCAAGTGTAAAAAAACAAGACTTCCTTTTGGTCTCTCATGGGTTGTGGTAGATCTTTCACGACTCAGACATTTTCTTTCATTTAAAAAAAAAAACAAAACTTGCTTAGCAAACTGCAGCAGTTACTACAGTTGGGCAAATTGTTACGTTAACAATTATGACATCTGCAATGTTTTATAAAGCAACTAATTTAATAAAAATCACTATTGAGGACTTCACTACAGCTGTCCTTGGCCCAGTTTTTTAGTATCTTACGGTAAAAACACCTGAAGCAGTGGAGCTGCAGGACAGCCCTGGCTAGGTGTGCTTCCACAGGGCAGCTGCTCTTCCAGCCCCTGCACCCTGGTGGTCCCACCTTTTTAAAGGCTCAGGGAGGGCAGTTCTTGGAAGGATGGCTCAATTTTCTCCCCTTTAAGGTTCAAGCTAAAAGCTTGCTAGCTGTTATTTAACCAAGACTAATCACAGCCAGCTCAGATTAATTTGGTTTTATGAGCCTCAATTTTCTCCACTTTAAGGTTCAAGATAAAAGCTTGCTAGCTGTTATTTAACCGAGACTAATCAGAGCCAGCTCAGATTAATTTGGTTTTATGAGACTGACTAGAACAGGAATTTTAAATCAGGTTCTGCTCAGGCACAACCCTCCCTGCGTAACATGTTTCATTTAGCAAAGGAGCTGTGACTTGTGCTGTGTACACCTGTGTACAACTTCTAGTGCTGCCATCACTGATTTGAGATTAAAACCATGTGAGTAAACGTGTCAGATGCAGCAGTTGCGAGCATAAAAAGGTTCAGCAACCAAGGAGACAGTGTGAGCTATGAATCCAAGTTAGCATTGCTCTGCTAATTAACTGCGTTGCTATGGAAATCGTATTGTTGCTAGGATAGCGCTTAGAGATATTACAGTAACCTTGCTGAATTTTCGTTAAAGGCTGTTCGGATGCTGCTGCCAGCGCCCCAGCCCTGCTTTTCTGGACAGGAGGTAACTCCGCTGGGGGAGCTGGATGCTCTGCAGGCTGCATTGTTTTGGGGATCACACAGAATCCAAGCCGAAGCTGGGTTTCTGCCTGAAGCAGTGTCCCAGTCTTCTCCCCCTCCCCAGTTACAGCAGAGGCGATGTTGTAAATGGGCCAGAACGGCACAGTGGCAGAACACGCTGGTTGCTGGCTCCCGACAGGGTGTCGATACCAACCGTCTGCCCCGTAGGGCTGTCTAGGCGTGGAAAGAAGTTAAAATTTAATAACTCTAAGAATACATTTGTCCTTGATGACTTCTTTTACTCCAAGACAGCAGCAAATGAAGTGTATGCTGTTCAGAGGTGTACGAGACATCACCAAGCTAGAAAACAAAACCAGGCTGATCAGACTGGAATCAAAGAACGGATTATCCTAGCGTGCATCTAAAACTTCATTGTCAGTGTGCTGGAGATTCTGCACATTCTGTTTCAGACGTTTGTTGATTTAGATACAGCTCCTGTGGCGATCCATCACCCGCGCCCCCGATGCAAAGGGCTGCTGGATCTCCGCTTCATCTGCCCCAGCGCCAGCCTGCATTTGCTGGTCAGTCAAGTGTTTTGTAAACAGTTAAGATTTATTATACAAAACATAATTTTAAGTTTAACACAGTCTCGGCATTTTAAATATTTACAACCACCACCAGTCTTCTGGAGTAGCTTCCACACAGCAGCACACCACGGTAAGCAGGTAACTGATGGAAGGATTTGTTAAAGAACCAGTACGAACCCTGCAGGAGGCTGCGGCACTGTCAGAGCCAGTCTCCAGGGAGGCTGGGTTCTAGTTTGATAACATATCGTTAAGACAGCAGCCAGTCTGTGCATCCTTCAGAAGCGTATTTACCACATCGTAGAACTTGTGATCGTAAGCCAGTCTGTAGTACGTGTAGATGTCTTCACAGAAAGTGAGCAGCTTCTTCAGATTTTTCAGAGCAGCATCAGTAGGGGGGTGTTGTTTAACTCTGAAAATAATTGTATGTATAATAGAAATAGGCAGGCTTCGATTATCAGACTATCTTGCTATAGAACTATCCAAACTACATTATTTAAAGAAGACGTTGTGTTCAACATGTACACTGGATTCTCTTGGTTATTTTGCTCTGAATAATTTTTAAAAAGATGTGATCTGACCAGCGCTAAGGCACCCTATTTATTCAGCTCAATAAAAATGGTAGATCCAGGGCTATGCTTAAGGAACTGAAGAGATCTCTAGTCCCAATGTGCTACACTTGGCCCCATCAAAGGTTTTAACCATTTGAAGACTCTCATGCTATTAAACACACAGCGGCTGCTCTGAAGTAGCCTGTGGAAAAGAAAGTCCCAGTTTGACTGTAGAGCTACTTACTTCTTAGCGATCTCCTCAAATATGCCAGGCTTCAGTGGTCTTTGTTGCTTAAATTCCTCCAAGTAAGTGAAGTCTCCCCTGGTGATCACTTGTTGATACAGAACTTCAGCCCAGTCTGGAACAAACTCGTAAGCATCAGCTACAATAGCTGCCTGCGGGGAGAACAGACGCGGGAATTACTGAGCAGGGAGAATTTATTCTTGCACAGAAAAATTCCTATACCTAAAATATTCTAGGGCTTCTGTTTGGCCCATCTCTTGAGGCCGTTCTTGAGAGCAGCTGTGTTCCAGAGAAATTGCTGCAAATAATTTTCCTTAACCCCTAAACAAGATGTCAGAGCAGGGGGGGTTGTTCTCTTTAAAAAGCCCTTTTCTTTCTTATTTCCAAATTTACAAAATGATGGATGCCAACATAGATTAGATTTCAGGGCTCTAGTGCAGACTCACAGCAGCACGAGAGCTGCTGGAGAGCCCAGGTCCCAGCTGTGCGATGGCCGCGAGCCAGCAAGGGCTGCTGAGGGCTGCAATCCTCTCCAGGACCTGCAGCCGTACGACGGTTAATGGTCACAGGACTTGGTGGCTACGTGGAAGAGCTGAGCATTACGGAGCCGAGTGCTTCAGTACCTGCTGCTTCAAACCATCATTTTCAGAAAGAACAGCAGGTGAGGAAGCCAGACTTACTTGATAGAATCGAGGCAAGGACAGGACGGTGCCCATCAGGTTCTGTCTGTTCAGGTTGATCAGCATCGTGCTCTGGCCGGTGTTGAGGAAATGCAGCTGGAGGGTTATCAGCTTCGTCAGCCGACTGCAGCGCAAGGACTGGCGGACACAGGAGTCCTGTTTAATACAACAAAGACAACTACAAGCTTCTGAAGCACGTTTCTAGAGGAAAGTAACAAATATTCCTGAGAGCAACAATGAGTTCAGAGCTGTCCAGGATATCCTTTCAGATCACTGCGGTTTTATCACTGGCCATATTCCATTAGCTTCAAATGAAGCTTCACTCATCACAAATGCTACTTTCATCACAATCACCCCAGTTTTTAAACCCTCTTTATACTGTTCTGTTCTTGCCAGTTCAGCTCATAGTCACTCCTCTGTAACTGGGGAACCTAACTGCAGGCCTAGGTGTAAAGCCTGACCAGGGAGCAGCGCACTGCTCTGGGACACAACAGTGCCACTGAGACTGCTGGGGCACTGCCGAGCTGACAAGAGCAGGAGGCTCCTTTTCTGCTGGGACAGGATTCTGCACACCCTCCCGAGGGCAGCTCTGTTTGCTCTCCCAGTTCAGCCCACTCCATATGTGCTCCCAGTGCTGTCCAGATACAATTCCATCTCACTTTACCTTAGAATAACTTTCTGCTGCATCGATAAAGAGAGTCAGAGCTTTCATCAGCAGTTTCTTTAAGTTTGCAACATCCTGAAGAGACTCTTCTGAAATGGGGAAAGAAAAAGAATAACCAATTATTTATACAGGTGACAAAGTTACAAAAAAACACCTCCTGGTACCAGGTCTGTCCCCAGTGGTGCTTCAGAAAGCAACAGAAGACTTAAAAGAAATTTTCATATTAAAAAACCACCAAGAAACGGCGATGCCTGTTCAGTTCATGGATCAGAGCTATTGCTGGGACCTAGTCATGGGACTGAAGAACTGAAAGAAACCACATTTGTGGTAGAGAAAGAACTGATTATTACCAGATAAATTCAGTTACCAGAACACCACGGACAATCTAAACTACATTCACCCCTCACATCTTCCTGAAACACCTTCTCGGTTGTGCAGCTTCCACTCACCCCATGGCTGAGAGTCGATGAGTTTGAGCTGTATGCAAGCAGCAGCCTCGTGGTTCTCTCCAATTTCCCGACACATGCTGAAGCACAGGGCGATCATGTTGTGCTTCTCACTGTCCCCCGGGCGGCAGCGCTTGATGTAATCCAGCAGAGCCGTCTTCAGGGTCCCGCTCTGGTCACACGAAGGAA